TCAAGGTCTCCTGTGGCAAACCCTTGATAGGCAATATCGATGACTATGGTCAAATTCCTCTCCTGAAACAGTTGAAGTTAATGCCATTTTTTTCTGTCTGCTGGCTCAATTTCAAAGTTGGACAGAAAATCAATTAAACCATAAGTATATTTAACTTAATTAAAGTTTCATTTCTCAAAATCTGATACAATTTACTTTTTTTTTATTTCTTCAAGCATTATCTGATTAAACTTTTCTGAAATTGAATTCAGACATACCTGATTTGAAACAGTAGATGGATTTGAGTAAATCTAATGACAGAGTTTTTGAGACGATACCACCATGAAATTCATAAAAATTCTTAAAAACTTTATAAATATGATTCCTAGACACAAAGTTGAATGTTTTTTACAAAATCTATTATAATCAAAATTATACCAGATATATCATCTTCTGAAAATTTCTTCTCCCCAATACACCTTCCAGTTCTATAAAACCCCAGTATGATCATAACTTATGATTTTATTTAGAATTTTTTTTCATTCAGTATGAAATCATTTCTGATCTTATTTTATACATTATATTCATTCAATAATGATAATGATATTGGTCACCATTTTCAAAAAAATGTCTTAAGTTCTCGAATTCAGATGTATCATATACTGTAGATCACATGTATTTGTGTGGGATTTTTTTTTTCGCATTAATACGTTAAGAGAGTCAATCGCAAATTCAAATCTTTTGTGTTTATTTGTACGAAAATAACTCTGGATGACATTTATGTTGATTTAATTACTAATATCAGAGTCTTGAAGAGTCCAGGTCTTTACTTGCTAATCATTCACAAATTTTATGTCATTGCTAGTTTTGAATTTGCAAATCATGTATTCGCGAATATGTCTGAAAAGGTAAGTTCACAAAATAAAGTCCTCCCAAAATCTAAGTGATTTACAGTATGATGATTATTATCAGTGAAGGAAATACTGTAATTGATATCACAATGAAACCTGATTGTACAGTTTAGACGCTAAATCTGTTCATCAGTATTGTGGTTACCTGGCAGACATCGGCGATCTTAACCCACTGTTCTGGGGTAGCATCGACTCCAGTGGGGTTATGAGCACAGCCATGAAGGACGACGCATGCTCGTTCAGGAGCATTCTACAACAAATCAAACACAAGATTAAAAGAAACTGTTTCTTAAAGTGGAATTTATTCATCTGAAGACTTCCTTTGGACCATTATCTGGGTATCATATCACAATGTGGGGGAAAAAATCAAATGAAATCAATCATCATGAATTACTGTATTAAAAAGTTAGAACTTGTCTTAAAACCACAGTATGTAGATACTTCATTCTCATAAACACATGTGATTACTTATACAAATTATGAATGAGGCTTTCTGTATCATATCACTGAACTAGAAATTTTCACTGTTACTAACATATATATTTAGAACGGAAGTAATTCTGTCATCACTTACTGTCAAATCTGTGATCATACCATCGAAGTCTAGCGACTTGGTGTCTGCTTTCCAGTAATGGTATTTTCTGATATCTGAGAAACCAGCATCTCTGAAGATGCCTATATGGTTCCCTGTGAATGAAAGTTGAAATTTTTCATTTGTAATGAATGATATGGTATCATATTGTAAAGCAGGTATATCTTTAAGTCGAAACCAACTTAGTTCATCAACCCAAGATAGATCTGGATACTTTAACTTATGGAAACTTGTGCACAATGTAGGTTTATCCCTGCTCATTAGATATGGGAATGAAACATCTGTACTTTTTAGTGCAAAAATATTCCGCCATTGAATATAAAAACACTCTTTTATGTCATGTCTGCCAAATAATAAACTCATATCTGTAGCTGTTTCTGTAAAGATGTCGACCAATTCTATATCATTGTACTGTATTACAGCTGTTTCTGTAAAGATGTCGACCAATTCTATATCATTGTACTGTATTACAGCTGTTTCTGTAAAGATGTCGACCAATTCTATATCATTGTGCTGTATTACAGCTGTTTCTGTAAAGATGTCGACCAATTCTATATCATTGTGCTGTATTACAGCTGTTTCTGTAAAGATGTCAACCAATTCTATATCATTGTGCTGTATTACAGCTGTTTCTGTAAAGATGTCAATCAATTCTATATCATTGTACTGTATTACAGCTGTTTCTGTAAAGATGTCGACCAATTCTATATCATTGTGCTGTATTACAGCTGTTTCTGTAAAGATGTCGACCAATTCTATATCATTGTACTGTATTACAGCTGTTTGTGTAAAGATGTCAATCAATTCTATATCATTGTACTGTATTACAGCTGTTTCTGTAAAGATGTCGACCAATTCTATATCATTGTACTGTATTACAGCTGTTTCTGTAAAGATGTCAACCAATTCTATATCATTGTGCTGTATTACAGATGTTTCTGTAAAGATGTCAATCAATTCTATATCATTGTGCTGTATTACAGCTGTTTCTGTAAAGATGTCAACAAAGTCTATATCATTGTACTGTATTACAGCTGTTTCTGTAAAGATGTCGACCAATTCTATATCATTGTGCTGTATTACAGCTGTTTCTGTAAAGATGTCAACAAAGTCTATATCATTGTACTGTATTACAGCTGTTTCTGTAAAGATGTCGACCAATTCTATATCATTGTACTGTATTACAGCTGTTTCTGTAAAGATGTCAACAAAGTCTATATCATTGTACTGTATTACAGCTGTTTCTGTAAAGATGTCGACCAATTCTATATCATTGTACTGTATTACAGCTGTTTCTGTAAAGATGTCGACCAATTCTATATCATTGTGCTGTATTACAGCTGTTTCTGTAAAGATGTCGACCAATTCTATATCATTGTACTGTATTACAGCTGTTTCTGTAAAGATGTCAACAAAGTCTATATCATTGTACTGTATTACAGCTGTTTCTGTAAAGATGTCGACCAATTCTATATCATTGTGCTGTATTACAGCTGTTTCTGTAAAGATGTCAATCAATTCTATATCATTGTGCTGTATTACAGCTGTTTCTGTAAAGATGTCGACCAATTCTATATCATTGTACTGTATTACAACTGTTTCTGTAAAAAAGACCCATTCATTATTAGATTGCTTCACGGAGTCCGACTTTATTAGAAATTGAAATACATAACTGGGAAGTTTTATTTCTGTATTAGAGGTAAATGAATAGACGTTTGCATTACTGTAAATGTGGCTACCTGTTACCATGGTACATACCCCATGTAGGGTTAGAGACGTACACAACATCCACGCCTAGATGCCTATGCATAAACTCAGCTGCCAGTTTCAATGCTCCAGTTCCTCCTAAGGCTTGTGTACCTAAAACCTATTTCAAAAAAAAAATTAAATGAAATAGTTGATAATGACATTGACATTACCAGCCAACAGCCATTTCAGATACAGATCAATACCAAGGTCAAAATCCTCTCAAAGATGTCTTTTTAAACTTACATTCATTTACTTATAAAAGCAACAAATGAGCCCTTGGGTTATTTTCATTTTTTTTACTCTTAAATGTATCAAAATACAACTTGTTATAGCCTACTTACAGAAAACAAACCTAAATTACCTTAATAAAAGGACCAACTACTCCGGACACACATGTCATAAAAACAAGAGAAAGATTTAACAGTGAGACACCTAAAAAAATACAAGGAGAATAAGACCAGGTGCTCTAGAAGGATAAACATCTTTTGCTTCATCAATGACACCTGCCATGCAAATCTTGGTCGACCTAAAGCAAGTAATGTCACTTTACTGAATGCAAACAAGGCAAACAACAATGGAACCATTATGCATTGTAAATATAATATAAACTTTATTTATTTTACAACAATTGCAAAACAAGTTATGTCAACTTATACTAATCACTCTTGTTGGCCCGGATTTAAGCGCGCGAGGGGTCTTATTGTGGGACGAAACCGGAGTATCCGGGGAAAACCCACGTGGTCGGGCAGGTGACCCCTTACCTTTTTTCTTGTCCGTTCCGGGAATCAAACCCTGGTCGACTAGGTGAAAGGTGAGTGGGTTACCACTGCGCCACCCGATCACCCTAATCCATTATGCATACTAATGAGTATCAAATACATCCACTTTTCTATCACACTTTGAAACAGAATATTTTTCATTGAAATCATTATAAAGACTGATATAAAAATGGGAAATGGCTCCAAAATATGACCAGAACCAAAAATCTACTGAATTAACTGATAACATAAGACAACGATACGATGAAACTGACCAAATATTCATTAGAGACAAGTCAATCAAAAACTTGAAACATATATCTGTTCAAGGTATCTCGGATGTGTATGCATACCTTGTAAATATTGAGGAATTTCACTTGTTAGGTCAAGGCTGTCGCTCGTTTCTCAGCCATGATAAAGTGTCAACTGACAATGCAACTAAGTAGCCATTCATACCATAGATATATATGTTTACATGCATATTAACCATTGTTTCTTATCAACAAACAGCTTACACGTACATAGAGGTACTTGAAAACATTTTATTGTGAACTTGCCAATAGTACTAGGTAATACTGATTCAGGTAATTGGGTACTATTTTTACAACCCGGGTCAGGATCGAAACTGACCCGAAATGGGTGACCCAGGTACTCGTTACAGCCCTAATAGATACCACATTGTAAGAAATGGTGCAGCTTATATTCCGGTGCTTCTGATATGTGAAAAAATCTTCATGCATGTCTGATATTATTGCCATTTCCTAGTAATGTTTATTTCTATTACATCTACAGGAGGTCCCTTCAAACTATACAGAGGGACCCCATTTAATCTCAAAGGACCCCATTAATAAAAAGACCAAAACAAACCTTGCTATTGAAGTACTTGATTTAGTATGTTTAACACTATCAAATTTCAATATCTTTAAAATATGGATGTACATAATTTCCTTGTGATTAGTACATACCCTGTTATCTGTGATGGCATTGTTTTCTCCACCCAGAAGAAGCTTTATTGCACTCTCAGAGAAGTCAGTAAGGCCTGCCACCGGAAGGTATTCATGGTTAAGTGTGGCATCACAGGCCATCTGAGCCTCCACAGTCCGTACCACTGGTAACACCCAAGGCTTTCCCTCATCTGTCCTGTAGGCTAATAATTCATACAAATTTCAATATAATGATGACTTTAAAATTTCACTTAAGACAATATTTTAAACATCTTTTTCACAGACATTAATGACAACTAATTGTAAAACAATGAAAATGCTATAGGTTTACGTTTAGTGTCTCTTGAAAACAAGAAAATATGATTAGATTGCATATGGTGTAATTGAGAATGTAGACAGGTTATTTATTTGAATAAGAATGCAATTGTATTATATTCTGAGAATAAGGGTGTGCTAGATTATCTATTTGAATGATGGTGTAGCTAGGTTATCTTCTAGGAATGGGGGATATAGTTAGATTATTTGCTGGGAATGAAGGTGCAGCTGGAGTATTTACTGGGGAATGAGGGTGCAGCTGGATTATTTAACAGGAATGAGAGTGTAGCTGGATTTTCTTCTTGGAATGGTGTTGTAGCTATAATTTCTTCAGGGAACAAGGTTGTAGCTGGTTTATCTACTAGGAATGAGGATGTAGCTGGGTTATCTACTGGGAATGAGGGTTTAGCTGGATTACCTACTAGAAATGAGGGTGTAGCTGGGTTAGCTACTGGGAATGAGGGTGTAGCTGGATTACCTACTAGAAATGAGGGTGTAGCTGGATTATCTACTAGAAATGAATGTGTAGCTGAATTATCTACTAGGAATGAGGGTGTAGCTGGATTATCTACAAAAAATGAGGGTTAAGCTGCATAATCTTCTGGGAATAAGGGTGAAGCTGGATACCAGAATTAAGGGTGGCATTATATGCCATCTGAGCCTCCATTTTCCGTACCACTGGTAACACCCAAGGCTTTCCCTCATCTGTCCTGTAGGCTAACAACTCATATAAACTTCAATAGAAAGATTACCCAAAGATGTTTACTTTTAACAATATTTTTAACATCTTTTTCATAGAAATTTATTACAACTAATTATAAAACAATGAAAATACTAGAGGTTTACGATTAGTGTCTCTTGAAAATATGAAAATGACTAGATTATATATGGTGTAATTGCAAGTGTAGATATTTATTGGAATAAAGATATAGTTGGATTATCTTCTGAGAATGAGGGTGTGGCTAGATTATCTATTTGAATGAAGGTGAAGCTGGGTTATCTACTGGGAATGAGGGTGTAGCTAGGTTATCTACATGGAATGAGGGTGTAGCTAGGTTATCTACATGGAATGAGGGTGTAGCTGGATTATCTACTGGGAATGAGGATGTAGCCAGATTATCTACAGACAATGAGAGTGTAGCTGGATTATCTACTAGAAATGAGGGTGTAGCTGGAGTATCTACTGGGAATGAGGGTGTAGCTGGAGTATCTACTGGGAATGAGGGTGCTGTCAGATTATCTACTGGGAATGAAAATGATGATAGCTTTTGGCCATTGGATATAAGTTATGTATGATTAACTAAGAGGAATGATTTACTAAGAGGAATGAAAATATCTATTAACAGAGAAGATTGCTATATCATCTTCTGGGTAGAAAGGTGACTGGATTATCTAGTGAGTATCAACTAGCTGTCTTAATAACTATAGCTAGTGGTAACTTGTACTGGAAATAAGGGCATCACGGTTATCATCTGGGAGGGAAGATAGCTAGTTTTCTCTGTAGGAGGGTGACTGGATTGAATTAAATGAAGGTGGCTTGATTATATAATAGACAGGTGGCAGCTAGAGTTTAAATATCTACCAAGAATGATGGTGACTGGATTGTCTTTTGGGAACTAGGCTCATTTGTGACTAAACTATCTACTGGGATTATTAATGAAGGTGATTGGATTATCTAAAAGACAGGGTGAACATAGCTGAATTTTAGATATCTGCTAGGAATGACAGTGACTGGATTTTACACCCATCGGACAGAAATATCCACACATCCAGTGAGGGTAATATATTTCTACCTTATCCTGGCAAGACAGCCTGCAAGAAAAGGAAGTGACATTTCGGGTTTGTGTAACTGTTAATGACGTCATTATTATGACGTGTCGGGGTCTGTTGGGATCATTGACCTCATTAACACTTGTCATTTGGGCATCAAATACAAATGATTATACCGATGGTTATAATGTCACATGTGTATTTATTTTCAAGTGAAAATAGGGGTAGAAAAAGGAACATTTCCTACCTTAAGGGTAGGACAGAGAATTTTCTACTTGAGGAAGAGAATCTTGATTCTTTAACCCAAGGTTTTGCATGGAAAGATCCTAACTATCTTTTGGGACAGAAAGTGAATGGATTATCTTGTGAGAATGAGGCCGAATGACTGGATTATCTAATGAGAATATCAATAGGGATGGCTAAATACACAGGTGACTGAAAAAATAATTCTACCTGAATTTGAAAACATCTATTGAGTTCAATATCCATAGAAAATGGTTTTACGACAATGCTTGAAATGACATAATAATGATGTGTCATAAGTTTACATTCACTGTGTTGGTTTGAAGTTCAGAGTTAAAACTCTGGTAGGAGCTGAAACAACCATAAGATGAGAATGATAAATGATATTTCAGTGTTAAATGTGATGGACATCAGCACAAGCTGACGCAGAAAATCAGGCTTTTGTTGAGTAAACTTTTTTGACTAGTTTATGAAGCTGTATATGTAACCCAAGTATACTCCCTCCAGTATTCTTACCTAGTCATGGTCCAATGACAAATTACAAATGTTACTGAATAATTCATTTCTTAGCACAAGGTCTTCAGACAGCTATATTCATGATATGCGTCAGCATTTTTGTTTAGGCATTAATTGTACACCTTTTTCATTGAAAAGACTGGTAGGCGAATTGACATAAAACAAGAATACCATAAGCATTTACAGGTCACATTACGAAATTTATATGTAAACTTTATGTTAAGTACCTTTCTGAAGTACACCGATATTGTGAAATGGGAAAAAAAATTGTCACTAAGCAAAATAAATTGTCAATTCTCAATAAAAGTAGTATTTTTCATAATTTAAAGGGCAAACAATTCTAAACATCCAATTTTCCATTTGGTATACTAAACATTTTTTTTTCCTGAAAAGAAATAATCCACTCACGCAGCCTTGTTATTCCTTACCATAATTATCTTAACTACATCAAACGTATGAATTTGAGAACAAGAACATCAATGGAACTGATAAATGCTACATGGAAGCAAAAATATTGTAGGCTTTCCTATCTGTAAATTTTGGATTTCATCATGAATATGATGACACAAATAGATCTGTAAATGTTAAATGGAGAGTTTGGAAGATAAAAGAATACTGCTTTAACATGTTACACACATGTATTTTTGTCTAACATGTACTGAGGATTGAGTTAGGAACGTAAGAGCATATATAATTTATACCAGGATATCTTAGCCCCAGGATATTTTTGGCTTTGTACAATTATACTTTGTGCAAGAATTCACCTCATTTTTGTTTTGCCCTCTGATGATTATATAAGATAGTTATCTTTAACAAAATTTTCCCCTGGTGTTAAATTCACCCTCCCTGTTCATGGACAAAAAGGATAAAATTCTCTTGTATTTCACTCAGTCTGATATTTAATGTGCTTATAAGATCTATAAGCATTAATTGTTATATGTACTTGGACATGTACCCAGGTATGTGTGAATATTTATGAATATTTGGTATTGTAAATTGTGTAGGAAATAATCAAGATTAAGGCTGTAAAGTCTGTAAAGTCATGCCTGACAATTCCCCTTGAAAATCAAGGGACACAGCTGCCATTCCGTCAACACCGGCTGGTGGCGCCTGGAGAGTGGCCACCAACACACTCAGCCTGCCAGAAAGATGCTTGACCGCAATGGTCAACTGCATGTCCTGGCAGAGAAGAAGGATGTGGATGGAGAGGGCACACAGGACATGAGACCTGGTGGCCCCTGTCTCTCCAGATACGTGACAACTGTTGTCGGTAGCCACATTTTGGACTGCAGGATACCCCTAAAGGACTGCAGAGCCAAATGAACAGTCTCATCTCGAGTACACTGATGTGCTCCGAGAGTTGTTCGCCAGACCACTCCCCCAAGCGGCATTGGCCATCGAGGTAAGCTCACATTCCTGTCATGAACGCGTCCATGAACAGGATCATAGAGGGGATAGGCTTGGTGGAAAACGTTCTCCTGAATGGTCCACCAGCAAGAGAACTCCCTGACCAACTGGGTAAGCGGGATCCAGGCCTCCTGGATGACGGAACCCAGTCAGACAGGAGGAACATCTGGAGAGGTCCGATGTGAATCCTCCCTAGGGGGACCACATATGCCAAGGAGTTGAGATACCCCAGAAAACTGAAGAACCAATGTACCTGGACAAGCGACGAAGTGATGAAAGTCAGAGCCAGAGCCCTGACCTTCTCAAACTTCTCCAGAGGTGGAAGGGCTAAGCCCCGAACCATGTCAAAATGGTTCCCCAGGAAGAAGAAGTCCTAATATGAAGGAACCTCTGACTTCTCTCTGGAAGGAATGAAGCCGACTCTGAGCAAGAGTTTCAGGACCAGACGAGTGTCCTTCACTAACGATTCCCACACCAAAAGAGGCATGAGGGAGTCGTCGAAATAGATGTGGACGTCTATTCTGCGTGAGTGAAGGAAACACCAGCAGCAACTTGGTGAACACCAAAGGAGCTGTCGTGAGCCCCAACGGCATCTCTGCCTTGGCAGCATGGTCCCTACTTCCTCCTGGAGCACCCGTGCCCTTTCTGAATCCCCGGGAGGAAAGAAACAAAAACGGCCAGGAGGCGAGGGACGAATCCTGAATAAGGGGAATACCTAGACCCTCCCTGACCACCGACAAAAGCCCAAGCGTCCTCTGTAATATCCTGCCACTGGGAAAGGAAAGCAGAGAGACGTCCGCCCACAGGGAGTTCCGGATGGGGCAGATCTAGCCCCTGCCAGACCAGAGAATCGTCTGCCCACCCGGAGCCTGAGCCTGCAGGAGAAGGACATGAGCCCGGGAAAGGAGAACCACCGTCCACCCGGCCATACCCTTCGCCTTTCGCGGCCAAG